AATTATGGGTGATGGCTCTCTTACTTTGATGGGTTCCAGAGGCCCTTTCTTTGAGATTGCACATGGAGATCGTGTGGCTCTCTTCTGCAAGCATATTCACTCGATGATGAATACGACAATTACTCAAACGATTTCGATCAGTTGTAGTCTTGTCTTGTTGTTTTTTTGCCTAAACAAAAATTACGAATGTTGCACTTAGTTATCAGTTGACGATTGTTTACAGAAGTGAAATGTGCAGTTGATATCAGTTGTCACTGATATCAACTGTTCATTTCATTTCTGTAAACAAACGTCACTTCTATAGACAATCGTCTGGCCAAGCCGAATAATATCCTGCCGTGTTTAAAAAATTTGGCCAATTTCTTCCACGCTCATTTTCCAAAAATTTTCGCTTGATTTCTTTCGCTGCTATTCAGTAACTTATTGTACTGATGAAAAGTTTTTGCTTTGAAATAATTCAATCAACTTAAGTCATCAACATACAGCGCCTTTCGTGGCACAGCACGCTCGTTTGGATTTTGCTTTTGAATGCTTCCTCTCTTTATGTTTTCTCGAATGCTTCCTCCTTTTATCACGTTTTCCTTTCTGAAATCATTCCATGTGGCTACGAGGTTAGCACTCGATCGAATTGTTTGATCTCAGACTGCAATAGCAGTGAGGCGCCGCCTTCTAACCTGATTTCCTTGAGGGCTGCGATTTATTTTGTGATTTGCCTCATCCGGTAAATCAGTGATTTGTCGGACACTTAATTATCTGCCATATAGATCTCTTATCACTCCCCTTAAGCACAACCTCCTGACTATTCTGCGAATTGTCTTTTTGAGTTTTTGCTTTGTCTAAATTTGTGGTCATTTTCTAACCTTCATTGAACGAACCATTGCAATTTCCTCGGTGATATGACCCGAGAGTTCATTGATTGCCCTATTAAAGTGACCAAAACCCATCTTCATACTATAAAGTAATCACGAAAGCAGCTGACCAATGCTGTTTCCTAGACATTACACAACTTTGNATTTCGATCTTACACTTATCAGCTCAACCGAAATTTGCATTCAAATTTCAATTTTGTATAAACTATAACCGAAAAGTCGGAGGAATTGCTTTGCTCTCGCTGAAAAAGTTAACTTGAGATGGTTGAAAAAAACATGTTTTTCTGTCTCAAGCATCAGTTACGAATGCAATATAGAACAAAATCACACCATTTTGTTATTCGATGGTGTCTTCCATCGGTACATGTGTCTCATCGTTTTCCTGAGGTCGTACCAGATTGATGATCGATCTCTGAAGAAGTCGTTCTTTGTTCAGTGAAGGTTGCTGTTTTGCATCCACTCTTCGAACATTATGCATATTCTGTTCGCTTTGGTTGTTCTCTGAGCGAAATGTTCGCTGAAAAAAAGAGTGATAATGCGGTGAAGTTGACGAAAATACAGCGCCTTTTCCGGTATGATTCCGTAAGTATGTTTAATCCTTCGATCTCTAGCAAACATTTAAAATCATCCGAATCGCTTCCTTCTTTGAATTTGTTCAGAGAGGGAAGCGATTCCGATGATTTTAATCCCGCAACGAAGGACCCTTCTCGAACACTGACAAATTGAGTGTTTACACATTCTAGCGTTGTACACAGAATGAAAAAACAACTGGCTTCTCAAGGGTGAGACGGCAACGAAACGACAATTATTCAAATGTGGTGTCGTATGTGAGCAAATGTGATTGTCCGTTCCATTCTTAATTCATCATGTGACACAGCTAATAATCGTTAACACTCCGTATGATATTTAGTGTAAAAACACGCTTTTTTCCTTTCACGTTGCCATAGGGAATAATTGCATTTTGTGATTCCGTTTACTTCCCGTCTCCATTTCGTATTGACTTATCGCAACACTTGAAATGTTTAAATGTCTGGCCCGAAAAATTGCAAAACTTTTTTTCTGGGTTAGATGAAGAGATTCAATGACTTCGTGAATGAGCTTTTGGGTGCTTGCAATTGTCCGGATTTATCGTCCTGAAGTTTTTTTGTTTCTTCTCGCATTGTTTATGAACAAGGTTCTGTGCTTCTTATATTAGAAGCCCTCAAATTATCAGTCGTGACGTTTACCTGTCAGTTTACCATAACGACGCAATTCTTGAGAAGAAAAATGGAAACAACCGAAGAAATCTTCAACGAAAGTGATGTTTTTTGCAGAACTCAGGAACCTATCTTGCATAATAAGTAAGTGCCAATAAAATGGTCGAATTCGATACTGTTCGTAACCCAGCACCTGAGATTTGGAATAAAATTGTTGATTTGGCAAGTTTCAATTAATTATTCTCATCAAAACGACCAATTTTAGAATTTTTCTGTTTTGAATTTTAACAATGATTCGCCCATGGGAATCGTTTTGAATTTTCTGAATGTTCTTCGCGGAACTGGACGTAGTTCCATAGCCACATGAATATTTTATGCATAATTTTAACCTATGGATGAGGTCAATAGTTTAAGTAAATGTCGATCTCTCCTAATCCCTCCCATTTTTCTTGGTCAGATTCGGTTTTTAAAAAAAAATCACAGTCGCAGTTTTTTCCGGATCCAGCAACGGATCGGGAAAATTTCGGATCAAGTTGACGACGGATCGAATTTCAGACATTTGAGCATGAGAAGTGGTTAATGGCCTATGAAGACTATCCGCTATGGCTGAAGGCGTTCGGTGACCAAGGTTTCGCACTGTATACAGCGCTCACCAATGGTGAGCAAATAACACTTTCACTTCGTGCATACAAATGATGACATTCGCATCGTCATCGAATTCATTATCAGTTCCTTAGTTTTTATGGACATTTCTGTTAACAATGGCTATATTTTCTTAGCTACATAGTTTCTTACAACCATTATTATTGAAGTTGCATAAAATGATCGAAAAACCATCCTCAATACAATTATGATGTAATCGCATGTAATCACAGATGAATTTGTGTCTGAGCGATTATTAGCTTCATTTATTGTTTCCAATAAGATATAGCAAAAGTGAAAATTTCATGATTTTTGTCCTGGGTTAATCTCCAGCAATTTTCTAAATTTACTGCTTATCAGTTCTGATTTAATATCGTCACTCTAAATGTGATTAGTGCAGCATTGCTATGCGAACTTAAAATTGCACTCTCTTTCTTAGCAATGAAGCCTTCATCAAACTGATTATCCTTTTCCACATCAATATTAGTGATCTATTCGTAACGAGCAGCGCACATTATGCACTTCACTGGGAACAGTAATGATACGCTTATTGAACTACAGATAAAAAGGATGTGGTTGGTTCAGTTGCACTTGCGAAATATCCAGCCGAGCATGACCTGCCCAGAGTTGGGACGTTAGGAATGTATTTTGTGCATCCGGATTATCGCGGTACTGGAGTCGGCACGATGTTATTCAATAAAGCGATTGCAGAGTGGAAAAAGGACGGCGGAAATATGGCACTAAATGGAGGTAATGATTATTCCTTCGTTCGAGAAGCGATTAGGTGGCCCTTACCTCACAGTCAGTGACCAAATAAATATCTTCTTGGCATTTTGCTATCAAATGTAGAAAAGCGTTAAAGCTTATGCAAATAATCCGAAGGAATTGAAACCCTTACATAGTGTGCATATCACATTGTAGTAAGATTTCATATTGTGCCGTAATGTTACGTAAATGTTGTTTCTAGAGGTGTTCTTTTTGCCTCTCATTAACCACTACGGTATTTATTCTCGCAACTAATTGTTTAGCAGTATTATATGAAGGTAAACTTTGAGATCAGCGAACTGTAAAGGTATCTTCAGCGATGAGATGCTAAAATATTTGCAGTTCAAAAGATGTCACCAAAGTATGCAGCCATTTATGGCTTCAATAAGCTGAACGATTGGCATCCAACGCCAGTGACTGTCGAAATGAGGCACGCAAACGTATCAGCACTCCACTCAAATCCGAATCTCAGAATGGTTTCCATAGACGATGTGAAATTCGAAGATTTATTGGCCTATGATATGTCTCTCGTCGGATCGTATAGAGTGAAGTATCTTTGCGAAATGCTTCGCAGTGAAAATGCTTACCATAAGGTGTGAGATTCTCTACTGACGCACATTATTTTGGTACATTTATGGCCGTACCAGTCAAACTTACCGTTTTAGCGTGCACCCATCGATTGATCAACTTGCATTCAGTAGATTTTCCATTATGAAGCCAAGCGATTCGAAACTGGCGATGTGCACTAAGCATTTAAAATTGCAATATTTGATCACTCAGTTCTAAATTGATTGGTGATAATGAACTCAGAACAGACGACTATCTAAATGTACTCCTTCGTCAAATCCAAAATCGCCCGGTACTGTGAGGATTTCAGATCGCCGTTGAGGACGGCAAAATCGTTGGTATTATTAATGCGCGTAAGGTGGTTAGTAACTCCCTTTCGATAGGACCTTTCTACGCAAATAACAAGGTTTGATTCTCACTAACCACTATCTCGTCCATCATTTGAAGTGTGCAGTCATATTTTCTCCTCTATGTGTTTCTACACCTCAATTTTTCACAAACTTTTCTCATCCAGCATGATTCTGGATGTAGCTGCTGACTGCGTTTTTCCGTGCTTTTCCTGCAGAGAGTTATAATTTTCAGCTGACAGCTTCATCCCTGTTGAGATCACTTCTTCAATCAATCAGCAATGTTGATCAGTACTCGGGATTATTGCTGTGCATTCCAACATCAAACAAGAATGCGTTTTCGGTAATTCAAGCGCTGTCGGATGGCAATCATACCGTGCATCCTTTCATGATCAGTCAGTTCACTGACCAAGTGGTCGGCGCAGATCACCAGTGTGTATACGCTATCACTGACTATGCAATGAGTTATATATGAATGACAGTTCCCGTTATTTGAATACCAGTTAGTAATCAATGCAACGATTGGTTTTTACACTGATGATAAATCATTGACCGCTTGATAACATAAATGTGTGAAATAAATATTGTGACGTTAACACAACAATCGGCACAAAAACTCATGGATTACATAAGTTTAAATCGTCTTTGCTGTGATGAGTATGTAGCGAATGTGGAATTTATTTGTCTAAATCACTA